TTTGTTGATGTTATCTTTAAAGAGCATAGCCTTTAATTTTTATGAAGTTTAACTTGGCAGTGTTTTCTTTTATTGATCAATATCTTTGCCTAACCCAAGGTCACAAACATTTTCTCCTGTGTTTTCTTCCAGAAGTTTTGTACTCTTGTAGGTTTAAACTTTAAGCTTATGATCCATTTGAGTTAACTTTTGCGTATTGTGCAAACTGTGGATCAAAATTCATATTTCCGCATCTGGATATCCAATTATTCCAGCTGTTTTTGTTGAAAAAACTATACTTTCTCTATTGAATTGTCTTTGTAACTTTGTTGAAAGTCAGCTGTCCATATGTGAATGGGTCTATTTCTAGACTCTCTATTCTGTTCTACTGATCTATCTTTACACCATTGCCACAATATCTTCATACTGTAGCTTTCAAAGTCTTGAAATCAGGTAGCATTAGCCCTCCAAATTTCTTCTTCTTTTTTCAAAGTTGCTTTGGTTATTCTAGGTCCTTAGCACTTTCATACAAGTTTTTGAAATCAACTCATTAATTTCTACAGATGTCTACTGGGATTTTGATTAGGATTATTTTGAGTCTATAGATCATTTTACAGAGAACTGACATCTTTACAATGTTGAATCATCTGATTCATGAATATGATGTATGTCTTCATTTATTTTGGTCTTCTTCAATTTCTCAGTTTTTATTTTTATTTAGTTGGGTTTTTTTGCACAGATCTTACACATCTTTTGTCAGACTTATCCCTGTGTTTTCATATCTTTGGGATGGTATTTTTAAAAATTTCACTTTCCAATTATTCATTGTTAAATTGGTCTGGTTTTTAACTTTTAGATTTATCTTATTAGATTCTTCTGTCTCTTTTCTCATTGCTGAATGGGTAAGCAGCTCAAAGGTGCTTGCATATTTTGAGAGATTTGTTGGCCAAATCTTATTTGCACAAGTCTGGGAAAGGAAAGATTTGCCCTGAGCTACTTCTCATTACCTTCATATAGGCAGAATCCTTACCCTGTATCTTTGGATAAGGAGAAAATTTCTCTGTAGTTCTTTTCTGGAACTTCCTGATTCTCTGTCGCAGCAAACAAAACCCACAGAGACCAAGGTTCTGGCACAAATGCTACCAGTTTTCTAATCACTTGGCATTGGCCACTGAAGGTCACAGAGCTTCCTGGCAGGAAGTGGGGCACAGACGGCAGGTGGCCCTGCCAGAGCAGCTGGAAAAAAGCTCTATTCACGGCAGATTGTATATCACCAACTCACTGTGACAGCACCACATACCTGCCAGCCTCAGAGCAGGCTGATTAGGGTAATTTAGGTTTTGTCTTCAAGCATAATCATTAGAGCTGTCAACAGCCTCTGTGATATTAAAACGAAGAATGTCCAGGGAATGACGGAGAAGACTCAGTGGGTGCCCAAGCAGGTATGGAAGGCTAAGAGGCTATAGATTCATTTCAACCCCAGGACAATATGGTTCGGGAATAAGAAAATGCAACCATGTTCAGTGGAGTTCATGGTGCTCTGAAGATATATAAGGATGAGAGCTCAGAGGTGACCTTAGGAGTCCTATAAGTGAGAGTCAAGGAGAGTGTCTATTTTCTAAAAGCATCTGAACTACAGACTGTTTAAGAACAGAACACATTGAGGCTTAATTGCCAATGTGCTTGGCACAGTGGCTGCCCATAGAAGCCCCACAGGCTTAGTACAGAGTTTTACAGAGGACGTGATTGGCTTTGTAAAACCTCAGATCTGGGATTAGAATCCTTATTTTAAGTAGAACTGGAGGTGTTAACTTAGTGTGACTTCAGGAGCAACAGAAATGTGTCCCATGATCTCAGCCCACTATGTTCATCAACGTCTGACATTTCATGAATTCCTTTGCTTTCTTTTCAGTTACTGACATGCTGACACCTTTGGTGGGAGGGTAAGTCATTAGGCCTTATCAGTCATTTACACCCCAGTGTGAATAAAATTATCAGAAAGCTTTTTTTTTCTTACCCTTGTCCTTGGAGAATATAGTATAAGAGAAATGAAGAAACTGGAAGTGAGTGAATAAAAGTGTAAGGGGGCAAAGGCAAGAGAGAGAGAGAGACACTGACTGACTAAAAACACTCCTTCAAATTTCACATGAGGCCAGCTCTGTACAACTCATACAGAAGTATCAAAGGACACTGTCCAGAAAGTGAAAAACAACCTGCAGAAAGGGAGAAAAAGTTTGCAAATCATATATCTGATAAGGGTCTAGTATCTGGAATATATAAAGAACTTCTACAACTGAACAACAGAAGAACAAAAACTCCATTTAAAAATGGGTAGGGGCACCTGGGTGGCTCAGTCGTCAAGTGTCTGTCTTCGGCTCGGGTCATGATGCCGGGGTCCTGGAATCGAGCCCTGCATCAGGCTCCCTGCTTGGCGGGAGGCCTGCTTCTCCCTCTCTGACTCCCCCTGCTTGTGTTCCCTCTCTCGCTATCTCTCTCGCTGTCAAATAAATAAATAAAATCTTTAAAAAAAATGTTTAAAATGGGTAAAAGGATGGGGTGCCTGGTTGGATCAGTCGGTTGGGTGTCTGCCTTCAGCTCAGGTCATGATCCCAGGCTCCTGGGATTGAGCCCTGCATCAGTCTCCCTGCTCGGTGGGGAGCCTGCTTCTCCCTCTCCCTCTGCTGTTCCCCCTGCTGTGCTCTCTCTCTCCGTCAAATAAATAAATAAAATCTTTTAATAAAATAAAAATTTAAATGGGTAAAAGGACTTGAATAGACATTTCTCCAAAGAAGATAACACATGGTCAATAAGCACATGAAAAAAAAATTAACATTGTTAATAATTAAGAAACGCAAGTCAAAAGCACAATAAAATACCACTTTACATCCACTAGGATGGCTATAATAAAAAAAATTGGAAATTAACAAAGTTTTGGTAAACATTCAGAGAAAACGGAACGCTCATACATTGCTGATAGGAATGTAAAACAGTACACCTGCTGTTAAGAGTTTGGAGGTTCCTCAGAGTTCAACATGGAATTACCATATGACACGGCAATTCTACTCCTAGGTATAGACAACAAAGAAATGAAAACAGATGTTCAAACAAAAACTGGTACATGAATGTTCACAGGGGCACGACGTACTCGAAAGAGCTAAACAGTCCAAATGTCCATCAAATAATGAATGGGTAATATAATGCAATATAATACAGCCACGAAAAGGAATGAAGTACCACTATATGTTACAGTATGAATTCACCCTGAAAACATTATGACAAGTGAAAGAGGCCAGACAAAGGTCACATTTTATATAATTGCATTTATATGAAATATCTAGAATAGGCAAGTCCATAGAAACAGAAAGCAGATTAGTGGTTGCCGGGGGTGGGGGAAAGGAGGCAGGGGGAGTTACAGCTTAAGGGGCTTGGAATTTCCTTATGAATGATGAAAATATTCCGGAACTAGATTGTGGTGATGGTTGCACAATATTGTGAATGTACTAAAAGCCACTGAATTGCACACTTTCAGATCAGATGGTGAATTTTACAAATATGAATTTTACCTAAATAAAAAAATAAATAAGCCACATAGAAACTCCATAAACCTTTTCGCTAATTCTAGGCAGACCCAATCTTTGCAAGTGACCATTCATGGTGAGGCAATCCTGTGTTATGAGTGATGTCTAGAGAACACCCCACCAACCCAGCCTCTGCAAGGCCTAGTTAGGCAGTAGAGCTTCAAACGTGTAACTCTTTATTCTACCCGCTGTACTGACTATCAAGTTGCAACATAGGAATTAGAACCAGATTGAAGGAAGATGGGCAAGGGAGACAGATTTTCAACATGAGAAATGTAAAAGTTCTGAAGTAAAGTCAAAGCCTGGGCCATCAGAATTTGTCATAGTTGAGAGGAAGTGCCAGGAAGCAGACCTCAATACAGGATAAGCAGAGAGAGCATTGTTGACTGCCCCTGAAACCCATGCTTTCTTTTCTGTCATCACCTCCTCCAAGTCCTCAGGCATTAATGTATACACACACTATTTACACAGAAACTATATGTGTGTGTGTGCGTGTGTGTGTGTGTGTGTGCGTGTATGGTATATAATCTGAAAAGATGAGGTTTGTCCCGATATTGGAAAGGTTCAGTGGTTGATTTCCCCCTCTCCCTCCTTCCCTAGTCATGGTTGAGACATTTTGTTTAATCGGGAAAGACAAAATAAAATTCAGTACTGCTGAATCAGAGAGAAAGTTCATTGCAAATGCTTTGACTAAATTTGGTAATGCAGCTAGAGGTTCCATAATTTAATCTCTACCGATAAACCACAGTTAAAGGCACTGCATAAAAGGGTTGTGTTTTTTGCATGAAAACTCATTGGCTGGCTCATGATGAGTCAAGGGTCAGGTCGGGTAGTTGTATGGATCTCTTTTCCTCTCTCTCATGGCCTCAAACTGGCATCTGGAAAACAACACCGCATGAGTTTACCATTGAGGCTAGAAGAAAATACATTTTATATCTTGATGATAGACTAATGACTGTCTGTCATCTTTATATGTTAAGAAAAGCATAAATTTCCAAGCAGCAAATGTTAGGTGCTCAACATATTTGTGAGATGAATGATTCAGGCTGTGAAGGCAGGATGAAAGATGTTGGAAGAAGATGCTGCAAATTCTCCATTAGAGATAAAATTATTTTTTTTCCCAAAATCAGCCTGGTACTTTAGTCCACTTCTGCCATAAAGACATTTTGATTAGCAGTAGGATCAATTTAAAGTTGAGATTACAAACTGAATCTGATGGAAGTTGAAAAAAAATGGCATGCAAACACTGAATTCCACAACTGGGGCCAGCAATGGGGAGTATAGCAGCCAGATGATGCAAGGCATGGGAGTGTCAGCCCCGTCCTCTTACAGTGGCCTGGAGAGCCAGTTTGTGAGTCATTGTTATGGGTGTGATGGGGCTGGCTGCGGCAGTCAGAACAGCATAGGTGGATATGGCTAGTTTTGTAGGAGCATTTGAATTATTGCAATCAAATTTTCACAGGCAGCCAACAAGCAGTGAAAAGTAATTATTACTCTAGAGGAAGCTGTGGGACCCATTTTGGACCATGAGTTTGTGAAATCTGTATTAAAAAATTATCTCTTCAGTGTTTTCCCATGCAAACTTTCTTCTAGCATGTGATATAGAGTAAACTAAAACTATTTTCAGCTTTTCTTGATTAACATTTTGGTAGTGTACTTCAGAATGATGTTATCTGAGTTAAAGTAGTTTTAAATAAATTACATGGATCTTTTATGCCACATCACCATGAATACATTGGGAAGATGTACTTTTTTTGGAAAATTCAAGGTCCTAGTTCCCTAATTCAAAGAGGAACATTTCTCACGTTTGTTCATTCTAGTTTATTTTCATTATAAGTCTTTTAGGTTAAGTTTAAGCTTTTAAAAATAAGTTAGTTTTGAAAATTGAGATGCATTACTAACACTGTAGGAGTTAGTGAGGCCTTGACTTAAAACTTTCTTTGTTGAAAAGATTGTCCTCAGTAAATGGTGTGGGGAAAATTGGACAGCCACATGCAGAAGAATGAAACTGGGCCATTTTCCTACACCATACACAAAAACTCAAAATGGATGAAAGAACTAAATGTAAGACAGGAATCCACCAAAATCCTAGAGGAGAACACAGGCAGCAATCTCTTTGACCTCAGCCACAGCAACTTCTTGCTAGCCGCATCTCCAAAGGCAGGAGAAACAAAAGCAAAAATGAATTATTGGGACTTCATCAAGATAAAAAGCTTTTGCACAGCAAAAGAAATAGTCGACAAAACTAAAAGGCAACCTACGGAATGGGAGAAGATATTTGCAAATGCCTTATCAGATAAAGGGCTAGTATCCAAAATCTATAAAGAACTTACCAAACTCAACACCCAAAAACCAAAAAAATCCAGTCAAGAAATGGGCAGAAGGCATGAACAGACATTTCTCCAAAGAACACATACAAATGGTAGCAGACACATGAAAAAATGCTCAACATCTCTCGGCATCAGGGAAATACAAATCAATACCACAATGAGATATCACCTCACACTGGTGAGAATGGCTAAAATTAACAAGTCAGGAAACAACAGATGTTGGTAAGGATGCAGAGAAAGGGAAACCCTCTTACTCTGTTGGTGGGAATGCAAACTGGTACAGCCACTCTGGAAAAGAGTATGGAGTTTCCTCAAAAAGTTAAAAGTAGAGCTACCCTATGACCCGGCAACTGCACTACTAGATATTTACCCAAAGGATACAAACATAGTGATTTGAAGGGGCACATGCACCCCTTTCCATTGAAGCTGTGGCAAGGTGTTTTAGTTCTGGGCCCAGGAGATGGTTCTAGTTCTACAATTACCTGAACTCTAATTTTCTCAACAATCAAGCAGGCTTCAAATTTATTCTACCTTCTCAATTCTGTGATGTTTGATATTTGCAAAAATAAAAAATACAGCATGGTTGTGAATTATTTCCAAAAATGGGAATCACATTTGTCAAAGGAGTTCTAAACCAGGAAACTTAGCAAGAGGACTCCTGGGTGACCCCTGTATCCAGCCCATCTAGCATCACACATGAAGAATCCAAGGCTGTGGCTTCCTCCCAGAGGAGTCCAGTCAAAAGGCAAGACAATTCTTCAGGTCTTTCCAAAACTTTTTCATAGATAATATACATAGGACAACTCATTGTGAAGTTAAATTTGTATAAATGAATCTCAGATTTCAATGAAATCTCAAAGTACATTCCTTAAGATCACATTTGCTTATGGATTTGATGGTCAACAAGAAAGCTCAACAGATCCTAGGAAAACCTTTGCATTTTTCTTTGCATTTAGTCACAAAAAGTCTAATTAATTTAAAATGGTGCACTTTCAAAGCAAAGCAAATAAAACTAAAGAAAACATTAAAGGGTCACATATGATGATTTCAGAGAAGACTAGATATGGAATCCACAAAGACAGTGATACATTGTTAATGGCTGTGTCTTTCCCAGTCTTCCCATGCCAGGCAGGAAGCCTTACAGAAGTATCTTATCATCCTCAGGTGTTCGTTGAATGAATGGCAGGGTCTACCAGTGCAGAACACATTAGGCACTGAGTGATGCTAAGGAAACCTAAAGAATTTCCTAGGTGAGAAAACTGCTGCTATTTGGGAAGATCTGAGAGTATGAGGGTTCTAAAAATGTAAACACAGCTCCAGAGATTTTTTAGAATCAACTTTTTAAATGGAAGGAAAATGTTTATAGGAAGCCCTGCTGGAAAACAAAACAAAACAAAACAAAACACTATGAGTTAGGAAAAATGTCTTGGATGTTCTCACCTCCTGTTGCTGGGAGTTCCTCAGCATTTACTGTTCTGAAGATTACTCTAACCTTCCCTGTCAAAGTCTAATTTCAGAAAAAGATTTGACAAACTTATTTTCCCTGAGTTTCAGTAATTGACTTTACTGTGATACATGAATCTATTTTTAACATACTGTAATAGCTCTTCTGTTTACTTCTTAATAGGGATTAATGTCTTAACCCTTAACCTATTTCTAATCGTAGAATTAAAGACATAAATTAGGTGGAAAAAGGTAATTTTGTAAAAGAAAAAATACTTTCTAGCAGAATCAGACTGTTTACTTCACCTATTTTTATTTAAGGCTCAGTAATTAATCATTCGTAGTATTTTAGCTATGTTACATATTAATATGTAATAATGAGCACAAAGCAAGGGGATGCCTGTCATCAAAATAGACAATCCCTAATCTACCAATGAATTTCACCCTGTAAATCTTATATCAACTTGCTCAGGACTTAAGCTAAACCAGGTACTCATATACCAATTAACATACAGTGTTATATTAGTTTCAGGTGTGCAATATAATGATTCAACAGTGCTGCTGGTACTTTTTAGAATAGCGTTTATAGTATTATAGATACATTTCCCATCTCTTTAAATTGCTTGTATTTAAGCAACTTAATACCCTGTCAATATATGTTCCATTTCAAAATATATGTCCAGAAATGTGTGTGTTAGAAGTAGATTGGCCCTTTGAATACTGCAAACTGGCCCCATTTCTGCAAATCTTTCCCTGCAGTGCCTTCTGCATAAACTGTGCTGCAGACTCACAAGCTAGCTGCCTGCCATATACAAGCCTGATCTCCTCGGTTTGTTTTAGATTCAAAATTCCCAACAGGAAAGTAACCATTACAGTAACCAATCTCAGAGACTTGTTTGCTTTGCTTTATAAATTCCTAACCTTTTCCTGATGTAGCAAAAAGTATGCAAGACTCAGGTTAGGTCAACAACAGAGTCAAGGTTAACTGTGAGAGAGACATGGGAAAGAACCTAACCAGTCAAACATTAAAACATCAATAGGCAAGTTAGACCAATATTAACATTAGCCATAATCTCAGTACATGTGCACTTAGTATATTTTGTTAATAGATTCTAAGATTCTTAATATCTGTTTTTTCCTTTTGCTATAGAGAGGTGATTTCATTGCTCTTAAAGAGCTGTATCTTCTGCTGGGAACGATTCTGTTCTTGGCCTCTGGAACAGCTCATAAATTACATCTTCAGAATTATAGAGTACAACAGTTAACAAAATGACTTCCTATTCCCGTGGGCAGCCCAGGTAGGAATAGCTACTTACAGAAATGATTAAGTGTGAAACTTGCTTTAGGCACAGAGCAGCAGTGGACTCATGAGCTTTTTTGTTTACATTTGGAGTTTTGTTTATTTTGGCTCCATCAATTCATACATCTGAGAAAAATGCAGCCCCAAGCTTATGTCACTAAGGTTAACTGCAGAAGAGAGAGATGGGGACAAGCTTAGGGACCACACTCCCTCTTGGCCATAGATCTAACTGCCAGAGCCACTCTACTATTCCAAGTCTACTCCTGTGCTTGAACGAATACCTTCACATGGGGGATGAAGTCTTATAAGAATACACTTGGCTTCACTTCCACACAGATTTCCAGCTTAGGGTTTGTCAGGTTAACTTAACCTCAGAGGATTCCAATGCTTCCAAAGTAGGAAAAAAGTGTTTAAAAATCAAATAATTTGGAGAAACAGTTGACTGAACAAAATGGCAAATAATTTTCTTTATTGAAGAGCCATTAATAAATATGCTAGTATCCACTGTGATTTTTTTTCAGATTTTATTTATTTGACAGAGAAAGACACAGCGAGAGAGGGAACACAAGCAGGGGGAGTAGGAGAGGGAGAAGCAGGCTTCCCGCAGAGCAGGGAGCCCGATGTGGGGCTCGATCCCAGGACCCTGGGATCATGACCTGAGCCGAAGGCAGACACTTAAGGACTGAGCCACCCAGGCACCCCTCCACTGTGATTCTTCAAGAGTAGATGATCATCTTCCAAAAATATTTGACCTTGGAAGACTTTTCTTTATTCAGAGGATCTCTAAAAATGTCACGTTTTCTAAGGAATCAAGCCAATCAAGTTTTAATAGAAAGCTTGTTTCAGTCACTCATACTCACTCTAGCACAAATCAGAACCTTGATTTTGCTGAGTTGGTTGAATTCCATGACTGATGTCACTATGGACCAGATTCATAGCCAGTTCTAGCGTCCTATCACACAAGGCTGTCATCAGTCTAGGAGATAAGGTGCACCCATGAGCTTGTTAAAATCCAAAGCTCATAAGACAACCTCAAAAGACTTTCTATTATTTGATTATTAAGAGCTTCAAGTCCCAGCAAAACTGAGGGTTCATGGGAGAAAGAGAAATCTGTGGGAAAGCATAGCTGTTGCCATGGTGACAAATTCCTTGAAATATTAAAAGTGGAACTCTTATTTCCTGTCTTCCCTAAAGAGCCCCTTAAGAATCTGTCACCCAGGCATTTACCTAAGTTTTTGAGCCACACCTCAGGGATACTATAGTGTTACTACTATAATGTTAAAAAAATTATTCTGCTACTTGAATAAAAATGACATTACCAAATCCTCAAGAGACACTAAAATATTACCGTTACTGTTTTCTGGTATAAAGAGGTTCAAATTAGAAGAGAATAATGGATCTGGATGCCTCCTGATTAGACTCTGGTCTGGCAAGGCTTTTTATTGGCAGGACTTAGAAGCTGCTTCCTCTTCTGCATCCATTAGGCTGGAGGAGAAAAAAGGTAATGGAGGGATGGGACAACTCACCAGTCTATAACCAGGTCAGGCCAATTCTAGTCATAGGTCAGCTGAATCAGAACTGACAACTTAAAGGGCCATGGTGTGCATACTTCGATCGATTTTATCAACTCAGTTATCCTCTCTTAAGAGGACCTAGAGCCACTTCTATCTGAAATTTAGAATTGGAAGATATTTAGTCATCATTTTTGCAAACCCCGTATTAGAAAGTAGAAGACTGAAAACTAGCAAGTTTTATGAGATGCCCTAAGGGTGGCTTCTGGCCCAAAGTACAGTACCTTTGAAAAAGCAGATATTCCATGTGTTTTTACACTATAGCAATAAACATACTTCTCTTTTAAAAAATATGTATGTATGTATGTATGTATGTATGTATTTATTTATTTATTTGATAGAGAGAGTGAGAGCAGGGGAGTGGGGCAGAGGGAGAGGGAGAGAGGGAATTTCAGGCAGACTCCCCGCTCAGCAGGGCTGGATCTCATGACCCAGAGATCATGACCTGAGCCGAAACCAAGAGTCAGAGGCTTAACCGACTAAGTCACCTCGGCACCCCTCTGATTGCAGAACACAGCTCTACAGATTTCCTATGGGTTTTTATAACTAAGACAAACCTATGTACTTACTACAAATCATCTTACTTTAAAAATCAGAGAATGGCTAGATGAAGGGAAAAATATTAAAAGATATAGGGAGTAGCTTTGGCCAGAGATGCAAACAATACAGGACAAAGCTGGCAGTAATACTCTGATCTGTACACAGACAAAATAGCTTCCTGCTGAAAGTAGATGGTCTTCCCAAATGAATGCCTCTCAGACACTTGGGTTACACAGTGGTGCACCAGTCCAGAGCAATCTGTCTTAATAACAATCTCCTTCTATTGAGACTTCTGCTTCTGGTCAGGATGTAGAAGGATGCTAAAGACTATCCCTCCTTTGGTAACAACAAAAAAGCTCCACAGAAAATAAAAATTATACTTTTCTACAGGGCAGGGGAAGGGGGTTGCATGCAATGAAGACTTTATGAACTTAACTCCAAGGGAAATAAGCTTTTAATAGGTAAGTAGAAAGTTGTGACAGCTTCTATATGTGGGGGCACCTGGTCTAAGTACAGACAGAAACTAGGTACAGATGGAGACCTTTCAGGGATGGAGGGAAATTGGCCAAATTTTGTAAAACAGTGTATCCTGACTAGAGGGTCTGGAGTCTGGAAGAACCCCAAAGGCAGAAACAGAACACCTGGACCGACAATTCTTCTGATACTACCACAATCCACCATGAGGTTTGCTGAGAAAAATAACAGTTGGGGGAATGACTGATAAGCAGAAAGAAATTGTACAACTCTGCACATTTTGGAGCCCTGCCAGAGTTTTATCCAAAGGTAGACAAGCTAAAAATATCTGAAATGTCAGCTAATCCTCACCCAGCTCAACTACTGACAAGATCAAATAGCAATTTGGGATGAGGGAGGTGGGGTTAAACACAGGTGAACTTGATACAGTCAAAGCTGTGAGCCAACATAAGTATATTCATATACAATGTCCGAAAATCAAAATTATATTACATGCAAGAAAGCAAAACAAAACAAAAAAAAACAAACTACATCTAAGAAAAAACAGTCATTAGAAACAGACTTGCAGATGACTGTTATTGGAATAGGCAGACAAGGACTTTAAAACAACTACTATAAATCTACTAAATCATTACCTTAAAAGGTGATTATGTTGAATAAAAAATGGATAAAAATAAAAACTCTAAGAAAAGAACCAAGTGGAATTCTAGAGCCAAAAATCCAGACTCTTTGAAGGTTAAAAAAATCACTGGGTGAAATTAACACTAAATGAGAAACTGCCCGAGAAAGGATCAGTAAACTTAAAAACTGGTCAAAAGAATTATTCAAAGTAAAATGAAAGAGGAAAAAAAATTGAGGAAAAAAAGAGAATGTCAATAATCTGTGGGATAACACCAAGAGATCTATAAGCAATTAGAGTCCCTGCAAGAGTGAAGAAAAGGAATTGAGTAGAGAGAATATTTGAGGAAATATGGCCGAAAATTTTTAAAATTTTTAAAAATTATCAACCCACAGATTTAAGAATGGGGGTCTCTAATGGATGATGCAAAGAAAATCTCGAATGGATAATGCAAAGAAAACTTTAGCATATTATAGTCAAATTTCTGAAAACCACAGAGAAAATTTAGAAAACATTCAGAAAAGAAAAAAAGGCACATTACATATAGGGTAATAACAGTGTAAATGACAGTTAACGTCTCATTATAAACAATGCAACTCAGAATACAATAAAATAATATCTTTAAAGTGCTGAAAAGAAGAAATAAAACAAAACCTGTCAACCCAGTATTTTATATCCATGAATATATCATTTAAATATGACAGTGCAATTGAAGGTATTTTTGAATACATGAAATCTGAGATAGCTTGTCACAGTATACCTGCACTATAAAAACATACTAACGAAAGGTCATTAGGCCAAGGGGAAATGATACCAAATGAAAATTCAGATCTACAGAAAGGCATAGAAAATGACAGAAATGATGATTATAAGAGTAAATATAAATGATGTCTTTTTTTTCTCTTTAATTTATTTGAAAGACAACTGTCTTTGAAAGCAAAAAATTTTAAAAATGCATCGTGGAGTTTATAAAATATGTAGAAGTTAAATGTATGACAAGAATAATAAAAAACGGAAAGGAATAAGTGGAAGTATACTGTCGTAAATTCTTATATGCAAAGTAACATAATATTCAAGGCAGACAGAGGCAGATGTTATTTTTTTCCATTACATATATAAGAAAGCTGAAGCTCAAAGAGGATCTTCTACTTGACCAAAGTAATAAAGAGAGTTAATGGCCAAGTGTAGCCTAGGAACCAGGTTTGCAGACTCTAGTCTATTGCTCTTAAAGCAAAGTCAGGATTAAGCTTGGACGCCTGATAGTTAATCCAAGCCTTTACGTAACTAAAGGAATCTTTTTTCTTAGTCTACAAGGTTTTTCTCTATGATGGCTCATTTTATTTCTCTAAGATTCCCCTTCTTCCCCTATGGCTGGCATATTATTTATAAAATGTACAAAGAAAAAGGAAATATGCATAGTTCTGTTTCCTTTCCAGTGTCCCTTCTCTGCTTAGTTTCTCTCCAAAGCAATTTAACTTCCCTCACTGACTAAGTCTGGTTAGTCTAATCTGAGACTTCCCATATCAATCAAGAACAAATTAAGACAATAATGTAGGCATAGGAGAAATTAAGCATACAGTCTTTAGAGGGGTATTCAAACAAATGCTGTAGAAAGTAATGAAAGCCCATTAAGAATAAGAAAGTTGTGTCCCTTCATGTTTCACTGTAATAATGAGCTTTTCATCTCTTGGTTTGCATCTAGTGTATCTTGACAATGATAGGGGATTATGTCATCCCGTCTCATCAAATCAGAGTTTAGCATAGAACAGGATGACCTTCAGTAACCAACGGTGAAGTATGAATAAAAGTGAAATTTATTCCACCCCGCTGCTATTCCAGATGCTCTCTGCCTATCCATTAGCAAAGAGCACTCCATCCAATAGCCCATTTCCAAAACAAAGAATACGGTAGAGCTATTCTTACTAGTTCTCAGCTCTGCATGAGCCAAGAGGAATCCTTTGAAACCTAGGCTGCAAGAAAAGGCTACTGGGATCTCTAATTCACCCATATCAAATTGCACCTTGCCATAAGGAAGGCAGAACAACTGTAAACAGCTGCTCCACAGACTTGAGGGAAAGCAGCTCCATTTGTGTCTTGGCATACAGTGCACCTTCTTTGTGGGTCATTTAGAGGCAGGGCAGCCTTGCAGACAGATCAGTCCTTCTAGCTGGGCTAATATAAGAATGTAGAAGGCAATGGGGAGTGGGGTGGGGGGAATATTTCAAATGTGTCAATGAACTGCACCTAAGAACTGGGGTTCACGTGATTCCTATGCCCACACAAGATAATGGGAAAGGACCAGAGGGAGTTCCTGGTTCACCTTGATTTAAGAATCAGAGCATCATTCAAAAAGAACTGTGGTAAGGTAGCCAAATTCATAGAGACAGGAAGTAGAATGGTGGTTGCCTAGGACTCGGGGAAAAGGAAATGGGGAGTTATTATTTAATGGGGATGAAGTTTTAGTTTGGGAAGATGAAAAAAGTTCTGGAGATGGATGCGGGTGATTGTTGCACAGCAATGCAAATGTACGTAATGCCACTGAACTGTACACTTCGAAATAGTTAAAAAGGTAAACTTTATGTTATGTATATGTTACCACCATTTTTTTTTAAAGAAAAAAATGAAAACCATGGTGAGTGAGTTAATTAGCTGTTGGCCCTAATCTGTTTGGAAAAATTCATAGGTCAATATTGCTTTTAGCATCTGGCAAACCCTATACACTTCTCCAGGGCATCACCCAGATTCACTCAGCCACTATAACTGTAGAGAACCCACATCCGTTTGGGAGGGGAGAAGGTAAGATTGGGAGATCAGAAGATCCAATAATAAAACTAAATATGAAAGGAGTATTAATATTCTGTGCCAGGCATCATATTACCAGTCTGTCTATAGTTTATTCAACCCAGGACTGTGCAGACACCTACTAGTCTGATTTTAAGAAGAATTCTCTCGTAATACCTGAAGCCCCTGCAATGAACCTGATGAACGTGCTTCAGGAGTAGCAGGTATATGTTGGTGAGACTTCGGGTCCGCTGGTTGTGAAAAAGGGATTAAAAGTGTAGCTCACTTTCTCAAACTCTGAAGCATAAGGATCTTTTAAAAAGAATAAAACTTTTCTCCTACCCCTGAGAATAAATCCATAGACCCTAGTTTGATGAACATTGATTTAAGCAACTGAAGCCTTCTTTCATGAAACTGCTGGGAAATTGCAAATTACCCCTGCAGGAGGGAAGTTTTGTTGAACCGATAAAGATATAATTGTAAGTTATCATCGTAATGACAACACCAAATTTAATTCAAAAAAAATTTTTTTTTTTTTACTAATTCATGGACACCCCACCCCAACTCTGTTCAAGAACATGTGCAGGGACCTACCTCTGTTTAAGAAAGACTTCTCTTAAAAAGTTTTGGGAGTATCTGACAGCCATGACTGATGGGGGAAAAAAAGCGGAGAAACAAATGAAATGTTTTGGTGGTGATGGTGATTCTCAACAAAAGCAAATTATTTTAAAAATGAATTTACATCCTGAAGTGGGAAGCAAGGCGAGGAAATAGATACGTGTATATAGAGAAGGTGAAATAATTCTTAAGGAGTTTATTTTCAGTAGATCATATGTGGCTCGATTGAGCACCTTCTGCTGTTTTACAAAATGGTGCCACTGAAAATATTCTTTAGCAACAAGACTTGGGGTGTCTCCATCTCAGCACCTCCATTCTCCTCCAGCAATTTGATTTATGGCAACTTGTTTTGGAAATTTAGAGAAAACAGCCTTGTGAGTATTTATATGAGCAGATTTTGTTTTCCCCTTGGGCTGTACAGCTGCCAGCCATTTACTGCTTGCCTGGTTCATGGGCAGGTTTTTTTTGTTGTTGTTGTTTTTTTCCCTTTCCCCTCTTGTAGTTCCTACAATAGAAATAATCATTTTTTAAAATGGAAAGGAACCCACTCCCTTTTCATAATCTCAGCTACAGATCTGCTTTTGATTTTGCATGCTTCATTTTGTTCCCTGAAGGATAATTTGGAGGTTTGAGTAATTAACCCAAGACTCATAGGAGGCCGTCTTTCGAAGGCGGGCAATTTTGCTGTGGTGGAGTCGGCCGCTGTCAAGCATTAACTTCTTAATAATAAAGCCTTTCAGACCCTCGACTATCCGCACAAAGATGCACTTGAAGCTAGTGGCTTGGCAGAGTGTAAGCGGACTACTTCTATTCTTTCCTTGGACAAAATAGTCCTCTTGATCTCTGGGTTGGAGCTATTTTTATTTTAGTTCAGTTCTTTTTTTGCTTTTTAACTTGGTGGGCAAGTCTTTCACTTATATTTTGATCCACTGCTTAATCTGTTGCCTTTTTTCAAAAAGACCTGCAAAAAGACACCCTTTCCAATATCCAGCGACTAGCTCCCCCTTTCAGTACATTTAGAATCCTCCCTTTTTAGAAGAGCAGTGACTCAACTCCTGAACTGAATAAGAGTTTGCTCCTCTGATCACAGTATGCTTCCTGCTATTAACATGAAATGGCTCCAGTGCAGCACTGGGGGCAATCACACCTGCAATTAACAACCAAATTAGGATGTATCTTTTCTTGGCTAACTGATCCACCAGAAATTTGAGGACAGCTGCTGCCCTCCCTCCCATTCCCACCCTCCTTTTAATGCCCCCTCTCAAGCTCTTAGCAGAGAAGTGAACCAGAAATTTTTGGGTTCTAGTTGATAAATCAGTGTATTTTAACTGATTTGCCAAATGCCTCCTGAGTGCTTACTATGTAACACTGGGGCAGGCAGTGATCTTTTATTCACTTGTCGTCAGGGCTACTGTGCCTGGAACCTCTGTGCTTTGAAAAGGATTATGAAAATAAACCTAGTATTTATATTATAATGTATATAGCAATTATTTACACACATATTTACTACAAAATGAAGAAACAGTTACTTAAATGTCCACCAGCAACATCAACCTAAAACTGCGGACATTTAAAAATCCCATTACATTCAAAAGCAGTTTATGGGTAGATTTTGCCATTTTTCTTTTTCTTTCTTTCTTTTTTTTTAAGATTTTATTTATTTATTTATTTATTTATTTGAAAGAGAGAGAGAGCGCTCGAGCAGGAGTAGGAGCAGAGGGAGAGGGACAAGTAGACTCTGCACTGAGCTCAGAGCCATACGTGGGGCTTGATCTTACGACCCTGAGATGGTGACCCGAGCCAAAATCAGGAGTTGAGCCCCGCAGGCGCCCCTAGATTTTTTCTCACTTTTCAAAGATTCCCAAATATTCTACTTGTAAAGAAAATTAATTTTTCATGCCCAAATAATTTCATAAGAATGTTTATTTTAAAAACCATTTCAAAAAATTTTTTAAAAATTAGTTACAGTGAGATATATAGGTATCAAAATGCTTACTTTGATAAAGGCCGCTGGAGGCTTTAAAGCAGCCCAGTGAGAGCAGATGAGGGGTTCAGGGGTGTCAAAGAGGAGGCCTCTGCCATTCAGAAATTTACAGTCCCAGGTGGACAGGCAAGGCTAGCACACTAGTCAAGGAAACGCAAAGGATGTGTACTTGAGGTCCTAACATTGTCTCTACAACTTGACACCTTTTGGAATATTTGAAGACAACTCTCATGCCAACCAAAAAGGCCTTCCTTTTCTGCTTCTTTTTGTTCCTTACATAATATCATTCTGGTTACTGCCTCTTGATCATACCCCAGCTTTGTGTCTCATATAATTTGGTGCCCAAAAAGGAAAACCACACTCCAGATGTGGTAAAAAACAAGTACAAAGGATGTGGGAGTCTTGCCACCTCACTAGAGTTTTATTCTTATATTAATTCAGCCACAGGGTGTTTTGCATGACTACTGGGCTGGTTCTCAACCAAGACACAACAGCTGCCAGGTCCTTTTCACGTCGGTGGTGCCAAGCAGGTTACTCTCAACAGGTATTTGTGAAGGTGGCTTTCTAAATGTTTTGCACTTATATTTTCTAAATGTAGTTTTGTAATTCCCCCCTCCTCTCAAAAAACAAACCTTGATTTTGTTATCTGGCATAGTTACTCTCCCTCTCAGCTTGGTGCCAGCTTAAATTTGATATGCTTGCCTTCTATATTTATAGGAGAAGACAGAGATGATCGAGTATAGAATAAGGGACTATACCCTAGGGACCTCCCCACAATTATGTCAGTCCCTGGGGTTAGCTTGTTCCATCAGCTACAAAATTCAACAGTGGTACAATTCTCTATTTTGCCAAAAGTTATTTAATGCTTTCCTGAAATAACAACATTCTGATTTTCAAAAACTATCCAAGCAGGAATATTGCTTCTGTAGTTTCTACTTGCAGTTTAATATTATACATCACATATAATTTTAAAATTATAAGACCCAGAATTCATAGGTATTGACTTATTATTACATTTCTTTATAGAGACAAAATGAGTCTAGGACGATGAAATTAAATTTATGTGACGCCAAAGGATCAGTAAAGATAATGGCACTACACCACTCATGGTATAGAGTTGGATGGGACTTAAACAGGTCATTTCATCGTCCCTGTGCCTCCAATTATGTCAGGCCCCAAGTCTGTCTTCATTTCTCTTAGGTCTTTCTTTTTCTATCTCCTTCAAAATTCTGTATAAATGACACAATTTTCTGAGTGCTTCTAGACACTCTAAATTTTAAAGTTTTAAGAAGAGTGTCCAATTCAGTATTCCTTGTCTGGCTTTGCCTTTTAACCTGGATCTAAAGTAATTGGATCTCTGATAAATACTTAATGGCTTTGGGACATGCAAAGAAGTGTGGGTCCGGCTCTGCATTAAAGGGCTCAGGAATCCAGGGAAGGTGCCACATACCCTGGCTGTGTTAATTAGCCATGCCTGTTGCTAATAAGTCTCTGGAGATATTTTACAGGATCACAGAAGCAATTTGTGATGCCCCGAGTGGGAAGGAGAAACAACACCCTGGCTTTACAAACCTCATAGAAAAGAACCTTGCCTTCTCTACAGAGTCATTCTCCTTACAATTTGGATTTTTTTTTTTAAACCAAACAACAGAACATAGAAATCAAACCTCTATAATTCAGATTGAATTATGGAAATGTATTTCTCTTTCCGCAGTTGTGTAACTCAATTCACTGTTCTTATCCTTCAACAAAACGCTATTATTAGCTGGAAGCATGAGTTTATAATCATTTTTTTTTTAATTCTATGGATCTCATTAATGGAATTTATTTGCTCCTCAATACTATCTTTCCTTCAAGGGACTCATTACTCATTTACACATCTAGAAAGTAAATAATGTGCCATTAACTGGAAAGAAATGCAGCCTCCAATTCATGGCATCAGGATATGCTTTTTTTTCCTTTTCTTTCTTTTTCCTTTTTTTTTCTTTTTTTAACAAGACAAGCATTTGGAAACAGAATACTTTAAAAGGAAAAGATCAGAACTTGTTTTTCAATGAGTTGGGAACAACAGGCACCATTGTAGCCCAAAGCAAGGGTCCTACATTCAATTCAGGGGGGAAAAAAATCCATAACGAACTATTATATGTAAGCTCAAGATTTAGATTAAATATTCTTAGGTTCCAGATGGATTCCAGTTTCTTTCTTAAGGGGTATATCTTTTTCCAAATTTAATCATGACTTTTTTTTTAAGACCTTAGTATTCTGATAAATTAAAAACATTAGTAGTAATCATTTAAAGTAGAAATAAGGGCATATTTCCACAACAGCTCTTCATCTGTGGCCCAACTGGCACCATAGGGAAAATTCTTCCCAGCATTCTCTGGGTTGGGGAGAACAGGACACAATCTGCTTTCATCAAAGGATCGGGATCTAGCTTATCATAAAGTACAGCATGAATCCTGTCTGTCTATGTCATCTATATCAAAGGACAGGCATTCCCAGACATATAATCATTAATCTTGTAGGCATCTCAGGAGTGCAAATGATTGATTCCATCTGTGTTGACTGAAGTGACTGCACTGGGCTTCCCCTGAGACAAGGGTAGAACTACTGAAGCTGTCATGTTTTTGCTCTCACGGAGGACGAGGGATGATGTTAAAAATAATAGTATCTATATATATGATATGTAGAAAAGACATGAGTATGTACATATATATTTAGATATATGTCATGTGTTCTCTCTATATTTTATATGTATAGCATATCTAATTGTAATAGGTATAATTACCTAAATCTCAAAATTAAACAATTATACAGTAAAAGAAAAAATCTAACACTTTGGGAATAGTTACTTCGTGCTAGGCACTGCTTTCATACTTGATGCATATGCATACATTTATTCATAACAACAATATCAGGGAGGTACATGAATATTCTTATTTTATGGACAAAGGAACTGAGACGCAAAGAAGTTAGATTACTTCCCAAATGCAAGCAATTAGCAAGAGCCCAGGTGGTCTGACTTTAGAGCAGTGTTACTCAAAAGGTACATGTGAGGAACATATGTAATTTGAGATGATCCGTAGGCACATTTTTTTAAAAAAGTAAACTGACATAGATGAAATTAATTTTAATAATATATTTTCTTTAGTTCACTGTATCCCAAATATTATCATTTCAACGGGTAACAACAGGAAAATAATTAATGAGATATTTTACATTTTTTACCTAATTCCTTGAAATTCCCTGTGTGTTTTACACATAGAGCACATCTCAGTTTGAACTAGACATGTTTCAAGTGCTTGATGCCACACGTGGCTAGGGTCTAGTGATCGTGAAGTCAACTTTCTAAATATCCTCATTCCACTATAAGTGGTGTATTTTACCCTGCAGTCTTACTCTTCTCTTTGGTTGGAGGCAGTTTCGAAACGCAGAAATCTAGTGGAGAAGGGGATTAGTGTGGTTTCTGGGAGAACTGGAAGAATCAGACCCTTTCCACCTATTTGGAGCCTCTATGGATGTTAGAATAAGGCCTGGCTCTAGGGTGACGGAGTGCCTCTGGTTCACAGCAGTAGCCCCCCCTCGCCCCTCAGGCCACCGACTCCACGCCCACACACATGGCCCTGCGTTTCCTTCTCAAGCTCTCTGTGGGCTCCCTGGAAGACTAGGCTGGGAGGACAGGGGACATAGGAGAGACCGCCCCTACATGCAGTTCTTGGTTGTGTGCACCCAGCAGGGTTAGGGGGGCTCACCCTGGGTGTTTCTGTCAGAAAGGAAACGAGAGCAGGCCCTTCGGGGGTGTGTTGTGGGTAGCCCTGTGTCAGCCAGAAACTGTTCTGGACAGAGAATGATGTTCCCTGGGCTCATCTCTGCCAGCATAAAAAAGGCAGAGAGGCAAGTCTCCAGTCCTTAGCCTCCTGGGTGGTATGAGTTACATACTTTTTTCTCTGTTTCTCCTCTCTTCCTGAAGATAGTCCTCTTTGGGGCTGTAGGATCAGTTTCTCTTTCATTTCATTACTTTTTGATCATGAAAAGCTCCCTCCCTGGTCTGCCTTCAGGTGGTAGTCTCTATCACCGATGTCTTACCTCTGGAAGGTGGGCTTCTGAGGACAGGAAGCTAGACAGTGGTCAGGGGACCCAGGTAGTCTCCCTAATGTCCTAGGTGGTCAAGGGTTGACTAGTGAGGGAGGCTCACAGAAGTGTCAAGAGGGTTCCTTCCAGTCAGAGAGAGCACAACCTATTACTGGGCAGTCAGCTCTTTCACACCCAAGAGGTGCATGCTCCTTCTGTTCTGCTTGGAAGCTGTTTCAGAAACTGCAGTCTCTGCCCCCACCTTCTCAGCCCTGCTCACAGCTGGACATAGAGGGTGCAAGCAGGAAGGAAAAGATGATCGGACAGATACACAGTCATTGCTGTATTTGTATCTGGAAAAGTATTTTTTTAACTTCTTTGACTATAATTCACTGTAAGAAACATATTTAAATTGGTACGACGATTTTGCAGAAACTGTTCGGGGGCCTCTGCTAATGCTGAATCCCCACATACCCAATGACCCAGCAATTCCATTCCTCGCTAGATCCCCTAGCCAACAGGGATGTGGACATATGTTTACCAAAAGACGCACAGTAGTTAAGTTCATAGCAGTACTCTGTAATAGTAAAAAAAGAACACGCCCCAAAAATCATCCACAAGAAACTGGTTTAAACAACTATGTGTGGTCATATAATCCGCAATATGTATATTGTATATAATTCAATACTGAGAATGAGCAAACCACAACTATATTATATGTTATATTATTGTATCTCTCAAAAACAGTGCCAAGCAAAAGAAGTCAGACACCAAAGACATAACAGAACACATGTAACATCGTTTCAGTTACACAAAGTTCAAAAAGGCAAAATTAACCTATGTTACATATCAGGCTACATTTCATATCGCAATTGACAGCACATAACACATACATAAATGAGTTGAAAGGATAAGGAAAAAATTCTTATTCCTACTATACGTAGCGTACGTACGCTGATTTTTTTCTTTTTTTTTTTTTAAGATTTTATTTATTTATCTGACAGGGAGAGAGATAGCGAGGGCAGGAACACAGGCGGGGGGAGCAGGAGAAGGAGAAGCAGGCTTCCCGCCGAGCAGGGAGCCCCACGCGGGACTCGATCCCAGGACCCCGGGATCATGACCCGAGCCGAAGGCAGACGCCTAACGACTGAGCCACTCTGCTTTTCTAAAGCCTAGTTGCTACACACTTGATGGATTTTATAATCTTAAATGGATTGTGACCTGTAGTTTAGAAAACACTGTTATTAATGTAGGTTAGGGTCTCAGACTAGCCCGGGGGCTACCTAATTTCTCTTTGTTTCTGTTTCCTCCTCTATAAAACGAGGATAATAATGGTGCCCATCTCACAGGTTCGCTGTGAGGATCGGATGAGTTAATGCACATTAAGCACTTAGCACAATGCCTGGCACGTGTTTACACACATGCTTTTATTAGTAGTTTCATTTCTAAGTACTTTCAGGTCTTTCCTCAGGCAAATAAACCTAAATCCCTGCTCTATACCTACTGATAATGTAAACTAAACTTCCAGCAGAGATTTCGAGATGACTTCTTGCTCCAGGGAATCCGGGACTTCTGGGTTTTCCACCTACAAGTGGGCTTCTTTAAATTGCTTCTGTGTTCCCACATCCTGTTCCACTGGGCTGTCTTCTTGTCTGCTCTGATCTTTTAGGCCTGAGATCATCTGGGCATGTAGAGTGTAACTGTATTTGCACAATTCTTGTTTTTAAAGTCATCTGAGCTTGGGAAGTGTTGGCGACAGCTAAGAGCAACCCTCCTATTTGGCCAGGGGGTCTCACCAGCCCCCATCGCTTCCTCTAACAACAAGCGCTTTATGCTCCATGCAAAAAGACCAGCTGTCAGTTTAAATTTCCCTAATCCAGCCAGATCCCAACTCGGCCAATCAACAGTCTCTATCTGGGGGAAGCCCATCTGTGAAATGCAGCAGTGCCCTTACTGGAATGACATGTCATAAAAATTAGTTTGGGCACTAATCTAAGGAAGCTTTGTGCTGAGTGGAGGGACTGCAAGGTCCCGGCTGGTGTTCTTCTCTTTGCCAAAAAGCTGGACCAGATGAGCAGGGCAGAGCTAGAACATAAAGCGAGTGCCTTCACCTCCTGCCCCCTCCCATGAGATGCTGTCCTCAGCGATAAGGGAAGAACCTTACCCACTCCCCCAAGTTTTCTCTCGCAGGCAGCCCGTACTCTGTCATGCAAGGGGGCTGCCTAAAAGGATGGGTGGATGGAAATCTATCAGTATTGCTGGGTTTTGTTTTTTGGGGGTGGAGGGGTGGTGTTGTGGCTACTCTTTTCTAGCTGCAAGATTATACATGCCAACACATGTTGGTCCAATTTGTTTAAAAAGGACACACGACCTCATCCTCCTAAGAAAAATTCTTCTGGGTGGGCCTGGGTGGCTCAGTTGGTTAAGTGCCTTCCACTCAGGTCATGATCCCAGGGTTCCTGGATCAAACCCGTGTTGGGCTCCCTGCTCAGTGAGGAGTCTTCTTCTCCCTCTCCCTCTGCCTCTCCCCCTGGCTCATGCTCATGCACTCTCTCTGTCAAATAAATAAATAAAATCTAAAAAAAAAAGAAAGAAAGAAAGAAAGATTCTTCTGGTGTGGGCTGCCCCTCTCACTTCTAGAAGAATAGTTGCTCCCAAAACATGTTTTCTGAGCTTCTGAAAAAAATGAAGCCTTTCATTTTGCTATATCTTAATGGTCCAGGTGACATTTTCCTCCTGGGACCATCTCTCCTGACCTGTTTCCTCTCAATTTACACCACACCCTCCCTTTACCACCATCCCCCTTTCTAAAATTTTCCTGGACGCTTTCCTCCTTTCATCCTCCATCACAGGCCCATGGAGAGACTTAGGGAAGGGTGGCCAACAGCTCAGCAGAGGGGCCAGAACCAAACTTGGTATGGCAGGGGTTCCAGTTCTTGTCCAGACTTGCTGGGCATGGCCAGAAATGGGAGGAGCCCCCAAACACAGCCCCAACTTCAAGGATCCTGCAACTGGGGGTGGAGGTGAAGGTTGAGGAGGTAGGAAATGGTTTGCACATGTGAAATGCTTGCTAACTATTCATGGCAGAGTATGAACGCATACACACAGAGGGCACCAACATAGCAAGGGCATGAGGTTGGCTGCCCAACTCCACAGGCATGGTCTGGAATCTTATTTCTACTACTTCTCCATGTTTGAATCACATATATTCAGTTTTCCAAAGATTTTTATTGAGGGTCTCCTACACTGTCTGTATTGTTTCAGGTGTCTAGGGATACATTTCATCAAAGACAATCCACCAGTTAGGCTGCCTGGAAGTGTGCACAAGGCTGACTGACCAATTAAAGCATAAACTTTATAGACAGGAGCTCAAAGGATCTGGAGCAGGCCTCTTTACATCCTTAATTGACTGAATAATGTGCTTCATCTGTGCCATTTTAAAAAATCACCATGCCATGAATCACAAATTTTGAATTGTATTTTCAGACAATCACATGGACATTTTCACACTTGCCCATTTTTATGTAGTTTAACTCCCACTTTAGAAGATTTGGGGACCTTTTCTGAAAGTATAGATCCTATCCAAGAAGTTTAGACATATGAGTTCTGTAGCAAAACTAGAAAAAAAGAAAAAGTCCATCACATTCTTATATTTTAAAAAACTACAGATTTTTTAAAAAGTCTTTTCCTCCTAATATTTGGAACATTTTCTGAGTTAATTCATTTTATTTTATTTTAAAATAATCTTTGGAATAAAGGGAACTAACCAATGTTTTGGCCCCATCTTTTCTCCAAGGCAACATAATTAATCAGATTGCTGTTTTAGGCCAGCCTGAACTCTGGGCAGGCAGCTTTTACAGTTTGAGGGATCCAGAGAGTATTTTTCTAAGGACTTTGATACACACAATATATATTAGACCAAAAGACAAGCAGTCAATCTGTTCATTAAAACCGTATGCTTATGCAATGTTATATGGTGAAATGTGCTTATTATGCCATTTAAAAGCAAGTCACCGAGACTTTCATGACATTTTGGAAAGAGATTATAACATCGTCTAAAGCAAGACTGAAATGAATTGAAGCCAACAGAGAGGGGTTTGGGAGAAAGGAGAAAGAAATGATAGACCCAATGGTCAACCTCAGGGTGGAAATCTAGTGAGCTTGGGGGAGGAGGAGCTTAAAAAAAAATTTACTCATTCATTTATTCATTCATTCACTCACTTTCTTGCTTCTTCACTAAACACCCCTAAGGGCTCATTAACACAGTACCAGGCAGTACACGATTAGGTTAAGCCTAACATTTCTCCCGAGCTCACGTGATCCCTTTCAAGCTACCCCTCCACCCCCTCCACTATGGCCCTCCCGCAATGTGGGCCTTTCCTCAACACTCCACATACTCTACAAGTCTGTCTTTACTTCACTATTTTCAGTTCATTTTTCCAAACCTCACACTTCTTTTCCCAGCCCTAGCCTCAAATAAATAATTTGTATTGAGCTCCCATAGAGCTGTGATGTCTACTGTGTAGAATGAAGTACAAGATGCAACCAGGAGCTATGATTCATGCTTACAAGATAGGGAATTTGGACGACGCATCACATGTGCTTAGTACCAGCTGGCTGACCCATGCGATGAATGGGAGTTTGTGGGTTGAAAAACCACGGGAAGGTTTTTAAAGAACTGCAGTTTAAGTCTTGAGACTAAGACTCAGGTGGTTGTAAAAGAGAGCAGAGACATTCCTGGTGAATATGAAAAGGCTACCTACCTCTGGAAAGCCCACCCCAGTGGCTGTTGATTGCTTGCAGCTCTGTGAGCACATCCTGGGCCTAAACATTCTCTCTGTCAGCTACTTGAATACAGGTGCTTTAGCACAGGCTTGAAAAAAAACGAAGATGGGCCAGTGTGTCTCTCTGGCTTTTCCATTTCTCTTCATCCTGTTTATTTTAAGCCCCCCGAGAAGAGGTTCAGATCTGATCTTTAGCTTGAAGGGACTGATAGTGCAAGAACTAGCAGTTTATAAGAATTTAAGGTCCCATGAATGTGTGACAATCAGGCCAGGTCCCTGTGTGAACTGAGAAAGAAAGAGATGAAAAACTATCAGGGGCTTTGTACAAAGAAAGTGTTCTACACATAACCGAGTCAGTAAGGATTGATTTATATTGGTTACACTGCAGTGTAATGCAACCATAACATCAGAAGGAAACAGTAAAATAGGGCCAGAGTGTGCAGTGAGGGTCAGTAAGGGAATTCAGAGGCATCAGGCTGACGAGGAGCTGGAAGGAGGGGCCTGTGCCCGATGGAGAGCCTGAGAGGATGGGAGAAGCACTGGAGAGCGGAGTGAGCTGGGGGAGGCAGCACTTCCAAACCCCGGAACAGTCCCTGAGAGCACTGTCATCAGCAGGAGATCCTCAGGGAGCACCTAGCTGGGAGGGGGGCTGGGGATCAATTTCCTGTTTAAATTGTTTTTTTTTTTTAAAGATTTTATTTTTATTTATTCGAGAGAGAGAGAGAATGAGAGAGAGAGCACGAGAGGGAAGAGGGTCAGAGGGAGAAGCAGACACCCTGCTGAGCAGGGAGCCCGATGTGGGACTCGATCCTGGGACTCCAGGATCATGACCTGAGCCGAAGGCAGTCGCTCAACCAACTGAGCCACCCAGGCGCCCTCCTGTTTAAATTGTACATCAGTTGATGTGAAGCATTAATATCTTCCCTCTAAGGCAGCTACTGTGAAGTGAGGGAATTCTCAACCAAGTTTTCCTATTTGTTGTCTTTATCTCGAGTCTCTATCATAAAAATTAAAACACCAACTAAACCAGACTAATAGAAATAGGAACACGATACTCTTGCTAGAAAATTCTGGGCTTTCCTGCATCTTTGTCTAAGATTCATTAAGAAAAATGATTCAAACCTTGGAAATAACAAAAAGAAGATTACTGTGTGTCTTTTTAATATGTTTGCCTGAGTGTCATCTGACACTCTAGGGGAAGGTGACATTGCTTGTCTTATTAGGATCTCAACTCTGTAAAGTTAGATGATATCTTTTTTTAAAGATTTTATTTATTTGACAAAGAGATAGAGAGAGAGCACAAGCAGGCAGAGCGGCAGGCAGAGGGAGAGGGAGAGGAAGGCTTCCGCTGTGCAGGGAGCCCAACGCGAGGCTCCATCCCAGGACCCTGAGATCATGACCTGAGCCAAAGGCAGATGCTTAACCCACTGAGCCACCCAGGTGCCCCAAGTTAGATGTTATCTTATAAAAAACTGGTACATTGCACCATGATTTCTATCTGGAAAAAAAACTGATTTCTGTCTGGCAGAAAAATGGTTATGGCTTTATTGCCCTGTAAGTGGCATTAACCTATTAGGCATCTAAATTT